TCAGCAAATTTATGGCACTGCTGCGTCAGGCAGCCTTATGGCTTCTTGTGTATCGATGTAGACTTTTTAAACAACATCATTAACTATCCAAATACTTGAATAAATCAACAGAAAATGAGAGATGCTGCTGAATGACCTGGGATCCACTGAACATTTTATCTCATGCATCTTGGTTTAAACAACAGGGAGTCCATTAGTTGTTACATTAAAAAAGATCTCAGTTCCACTCGTCCGGATCAGTCGGTGGTACGGCAAAATCTTTACAAATCATCACTAATAAATTTAACTAAATCCATTCAGAGTCCAGTAAATTGACACAAATGGGAGCAGAGCTGCTAAAAAATTACTTTTGCTTGACTGATCTTCAGTTGAAGAGACAACAGATCAATGCTTCAATGCAACTGCGGTTGCTGTTGTCGCTGCTCGCTGTCCCCTGTCGTTGCTGCTGTCGCCGTCGTCACCGTCTTTTTCATGATCGTCATCGATTCATACTGTTAACTTCATGTTCATCATCATCAGTCATTACTATTAGTGTAGTTGTTGTTAGTGTTGTTGCTGTGCACCTGTCTGTCTGTCTGTCTCTCTCTGTCCCTCTCTCTCTCTCTCTCTCACCCCAACTAGTCAAGGCAGATGACCACCCACCTAGAGCCGAAGGATCTGTCCTAGGTTTCTGCCTCTAGGTTTCTGAAAAACAGGCAGTTTTTCCTTGCCCCTGTTGCCAAGTGCTCGCTCATGGTGGTACTGTTTGGGTCTCTGTAAATGTTATAAGGAGTTCGGTTAGACTTCTCTAATTGAAAAGTGTCCTGAGATAACTTCTGTTATGAATTGGCGCTATACAAATAAATTGAATTGAATTGATTGAATAGGTGTATACAGTCAACGTAAAACAGTCAGGCGAAACATGTTTCGTGTGAGCAGCAAGAGACAATGTGAAGCAATTTGCTTTTAAACCTGATGTTGTTGAAAGCTGATGTTCAGCTCCCACTTGAGGTCCTGGGTGATGATGGTACCCAGGAAGCACAGAGTCAACTGGGAAGTCACACCAGATGATAGGGGTGGGTGGGGCTGGGTTCTTACTGAAGTCTACAACCATCTCCACTGTCTTTATAGCGCTGAGTTCCAGGTCGTTGCGGCTGCACCAGGTCACCAGATGGTCAATCTTATGGCTGATCGGTGTATGTCACAAGGTTAATATGATTCACCTTACAGAACTTTTGCTCATAGGTTACTTTACACCAGTTTTTGTCTGTTGTCTCAGTGTTTCGGTTTGTGCACACAAACTAAAGCTGCCCCTGCATCTCTGTTTTCCTTCGCTCTTGGCTGGGGAGAATGGACAGCTTGGGTGTGGGGTATGTGGTGGTTGGTGGAGGGCAACTGTCTGTTTCTTCCTCACTGCCGTATGGATACACAGACTGCAAACAAGCCCTCACCACGGTGGCTTGTGCCTGCGAGAGTACACACACGAGCAGGCACAGACACACACCCCGGTTAGCTGTAACATGGCCCTTTGGCCTCTGTTCTACCACAACAAGCAACATTAGCTCTGCTGCGTTGGCTCTGACCTACCCCCCCCTCTGCTCACTGGCTCCTCAGTAGTCCTCAAACAGCTCAGCAG